TTTTGACTAGAAGTTGGTCCAAGGTCACCAGCGTATTTTTAATGAAAAAACGGATTTTTGCATGAAGCCTGTCAAAACTAGAGTTGCCGTATATCAGCCACTTTAAGTCTGAAACACACCAAATTTTCAGTAGATATATGAAAAATGACCATAAATCAGATAGCGCTTGTAAAACTACAAAATTGTGGGTTTTCCAGGAGGTTTTCAGAAATCCTCTGACGTTTAAACCCGCTGAATCTCATATTTGAGAACCCGTTCAGCAGCAATACACTACCCTAAGTGTTTCCTAAAAATTTAGTGTGTTTCTGACTTAAAATGGCTAATATACGACAACTCTAGTTTTGACAGGCTTCATGCAAAAATCCGTTTTTTCATTAAAAATACGCTGGTGACCTTGGACCAACTTCTAGTCAAAAACAAACATTTCCACGTTGATCAGCACATTTGGTAACCTGTGTTTCAAGTCTTTCCGAGATCTTCCGACGTGTCCGGACCGAGTTAGCGTGGTCTCCGGAGAACCTTTCTAGCTGCGAAACCTTGTAAGCTAACGACCTGGGACTGTTCTAGAAACGAATATCTCAGTCCGGGCTACCTGCCTGTCGTCTCAAAAGTTAAAATCCGAAACTATTGTCCCAACATTTTCCTTTCGACTAGTGAAAACCGCAACTCCATAGCTACATCCTAGAAAAAGTTAATAAACAAATGGTCATGGTCTTTCTTTTTTAAAATGGATAATATATGGGTATGAACTATGAACATTTTGATGAATAATGCCGCAAACCGCGACTCGAAGGACCAAATCGCTGCTAGGATATTTGGTTTGATACTTCGAGAATCTTTTTTAACCCTTTACCTACCATCGTTGATCTATAAAAGCTGACAGCAAAATAACTAGTAGAATAAAGCAATCAGTAGTATAATATGTCAATGTCAAAGTTGAATCGAATCAAAGTTGCACCAATGTTGAGCAATACGATGGGTCATCCATGATCCACGGGTAGCGAATAACATGGAAAAAATACAAAAAAAAAGTACTCTTTTACACTGAGGTTTTATAGTCAACATATTTTTTTTAGCAATTATAATTGAGTACTCATCGTTATACATTAAATTTATTTTTTCTAGGTTATTATTAGTATGAAAAGCTACAAAACAGTTATTTTGTGGATGAATGCATAAATGTAGTTCACATTTAGAACATGTCCAATGTGTTTTCAACTCGAATTTTTCATATGTGCACCTTAATCTTGAGTGTACAAATTTTGGCCAATATTCATTACATATCGTCTCTCATTTTGTGTATATTAAGTCACTCTCTATTTCTGTGTTCAATATCTCTCTCTCTCATTCTTAATATTACCACCACTCTTCTTTTGTCCTCTACACTGTATATATTCGCTGTACAGCACTTACATTGGAGTCTATGGTATAATAAACCCAGCAAATGATAGAATTCCTTTTCCTGTTTTTGACAATATTTTATTTGGCGGTTTTAAATATATTAAATTCTTATCTCATTCGCGATCAATATGGATGATCCATTTTACTTGTAAGCACTTTTCAGAAAATTTGTACATCATAAGAAAAGCCTGTTCTATTTTGCTTGGAAAGACAACACTCTACTAAACATTAATTGCCAATAACATATTTCTGAAACGGTCGTGAAAAAAAATAAAAACTGAGTTGAAAATTTTCGAAAAGTTTTTATTTTGTGTTTGAAATGTCTTCACCAAAAATTGATGGAAAATAAAATCTTTTTTTATCAATCGAGAGCTTATGAACTTATCTTGCTCTCAAAAGCAATCCATTTTTATCCCATGCTTCATTATCTTTTTATAACAATTCTACAAATGGGTCGTGGGGAACCCCTGGGTAGGTAAAGGGTTAGGCAAAAAAAAGGGATGCCGTTTCCTACTAAAATGTATGCCATTTCTTAATCATATAACTAATAGTGATGAAAACTTCACTCAGCGATACATCTATGATCTGACTACTTTGTGACGCAACTCCGAAAAATGCTGAAAATAGTCTACAAAGATAGAGCAAACAATTCTCAACAAAGTAAGATGTATAGCAGTCACCTGCTCATTATTTTCCAACAGTACAATTGAAAATATAATGGAAGTATACAGTATACTTTGCTGAGATGTGTGTCTTTATATTAAGATCATTCCTTAGGTTAAGTAACTCCATGTCCAGAAGAGATTCGACATGAACGAAACTTTTTTGATAATGCTGCCCTCGTCGAAATACGGGAACGAAACTTTTTTAATGTGAATTGAATTATTCATTAAAGATTAACTGGAGAGACTTTAAGTAAACGTTTGTATCGCACTTTTGCTGATAGGTCAGTGCTAGGTATGCACTGATTTCGGTTTTCAAACCGAAAAAAAGTTATTTGGAGAAAATCCAAAACATTAAGATTTTAAATTAATATAAAGAGTTAGCACATAACATCTATTTGCTCTTGCCGAAGGAACATCTGATTTTACCTTAGTGAGTCGATAAATTCGAATGCTTCTTTATATTTCGTAGCTCTGTACCGGTTCTGGTAAACCGCAATCTTGAAGTTCTGTTTTTGGGAAACCTGTTATGGGAAATCATTAAGGATGAGATTGATCATTTTCTTTCTTTTTATTATGTGATTATTTGCTACTTGTGATACTTGTACTATGTGATACTTCTGCTACTTGTACACTGTTGTTATGTTTCGTTGTTATCTCATTTTAGATAAGGTAACTTATCTTAGGTAACTTATACTTGTTATGTCATGGTTTCTACTCTTTTTTTGATTATATATTTGTCCACCAAAAAAGTTTATATGCTGTTTATATGCTTTTATCTTTTTCCTTTGATATTAATCCAATTTTTTACTTTCGATATGTCGATATCGTAGCTTCCTAACTGAGATGCAAATTCATCCTAACTGGCTTTGTTATTTGACATGGTGAATCTCTTCTCAAATTTCTCTGAGTATTCAGAACAAAATTTTGTCCGTAATATCAATTTTATCACCTGAAAAAACTTGGTGAACTCGCCAGAGATGTCAGAATATCAGTACGCATTGTATTCTCAAAAAGAGACTATTTCCTGGGTTTGCTGGGCTTGCTTGGCCTGGTGTATTCTCAGTGAGAATACATGAGAATACGCCAAGCCCAGCAAGTTCGACAAAACAGTGTCTTTTTGAGAATACACTGCATACTGATATTCTGACACCCCTCGAAATCGCCCGTTTTTACCGGTCTGGAAATATTTTTAAACAGACCAGACTGATCTGGTATTTCTAAACCGGTTACAACTATGATTTGTTCCCAAGAAATCATCAAATTTGAATGTTAAAGATCATTCTACTAATGAACGACTAAAATTTGACAAAATCAGTATTTGTGGAATTTGGAAAACGGGAGTTTTCCTCAATATATTTCTACTAAAAGTGAGACACGCCTTAATAGTGCGTGGCTCAACTCATGTTAATTCTAGCAATATTTTAGCATCAAGTGGAATAATTACAACAACTTCTGGACTTGATGTTACAGCTAGTACGCTGCCGCTGACAACAACAACAATAACAGGTGAAGTTTTCAAAAAAAATAGTCACGAAATCCTAAATGTAAGTTTTTCCCCAATTTTTCTGGTTATCAGTACAACAGTAACAACATCAACAAGTAAGACAAAAGTTTTTTCATGCTCAACTTTTCTTGTTTATTTTGGGTCGGTGGACTCAAAACAATAGATTTTTTAGTATATTGAAACATTTTCAAATTTCCAAAACTAAAACCTCTTTGACACATACTTTAATTAATTTCAGCAAGCGCCACCTTGGCAACTCCTACAGCATCAACCCTTACTAGTACGACAAGTATTTCAGCCACTACAAGCAGCATTTCGGCAAGTACGACTACAACGATAGCATCAGCAACAACAAATAAGTTTAACTGGCCTTTTTACTAAAATATTCACATTCTTCAAATAATATTCGAGCGAAAATGATTAGCCGTGTTGGTATCGACTCAACAAGAGCGTGTTTATTTTTACTTGTAGCTTCGTTCTGCGGCTCTGCAGTAGTACGAATGGACTGTTATTCCGTTCCAACAGAGATAACGTATCTAACTCATACACACAGTATTCATTCAGTTTTAATCCAACTGCTTCAACAGCAACTCTTACGTTCGCATTTGCCGGCGATGAACCTCATACTTCGTATTTAGACGATATTTCGGTTCAATCTACGGTAACGGCAACCGAAATGTTAGTTAATGGTTGTTTGGAAACTGGAACAGTAGATGGTTAGACACAATACTGCAGCAGTGATAGCAGCTGTGGAGCAAATGGTTATGGACAAATAACATCAAGCGGTTGTAAAACAGGTTCATCATGTTATACAGATCGATGTCACGTGCCGAATTTTGATTATCTAACGCAAACATTTGCAACTGTTCCAGGTGATCTGTATACTCTGACATTTTGGATGAAACAGAGAAGTTGTAGCTCTTGCGGCCCATCTACAATTTCTGCGTATATTACATTATATTAGATGGCAGTATCATATACACAGACGCTCTTTTCTCCAAACATTAACCCATTCCCTACAATTTCCTTTCACTGATAATTCCACAAATACTCTACGTAAGACGCACCAAATTCGAACTTTCCACATTATTTTACTTTTTCACTGTAACATATACATCACTCGATATAGAGCTCGACGAGTTGATCAAGAATATCTGTATTTTAGCTTAAAAAATTGTCTTTTGAATGAAAAATCTTCAAACTACTAGAAGGGTTAAGAGCTGAGTATGAGAATGATGCTTGATCGAGATTAAAGTCAACGGCCTATCCAGTATGGACGACCTGAACTCCCCTTGTAAAAAGTTCTTAAACAGTTTTGCAAACATATCTAGTATTTTTTATGAAGAGATGAAGCCGACTTTTTTATTTATTAGAACCGCATTAAACGAGCTTTAAAAGTATGCTACGCGTTCCTATTTATTTGGCTGTATTACTGAGAAAACACATTTTTTCTGAATGAGGAACGAAAACATCGGAATTCTACCCGCAATTCTCTATTTTCTCGATGAAAATTCACTTTTATGCAATAAAAATATCGTATTCAGAGTCATTTAACCACACGCCTTTTTTTGGCCTGACATTTTTGTACAACATTTGACGCCTTTAGCTCGACATGGACAACTTTTTGTAGCACCATCGCGTTTACAACTGCAATCGATTACGAATGAATGTGAATTTCCACTCTAACATATACCTAAGCCAAAAATAAAATGGGGTGCAAAGTATGAATTTGATGCGGTTTAAATAAACTTCGTGAAAGAAGACAGCAGAACGTTCGTTAACGAGCAAGCAAAAATACGGTTTCTCTGGAAAACAAAGTCATTCCAATTTTCACCAGACCGGCGTAGTTTAGTTATAGTACCCGTCAAAAGTAAAGACGTTTCTGTATCCATGAACTACGCACAAATACTCGTAACTCCAAATTGTGTACAACGTGCAATCTACGCTAAATGCTAATCATCTGCCAAGTTTCACGTTATTCATTTGTATCATTCATAAGATATGAATTTCTTAAATGTTAGACCCCTAATCGAGCTTATTGCCAAATAATACCACTAGTATGTATCTTTAGTTGTCAACTATCTATAGTACAAATTTGATATTTGGGCTTTCATCAATTAAAGAGAAAGTGAGGACGATACATTCTAAGAGGAGTTTCAGTACGCATAATAAATTCTTCATTCTGCACACAGCAGTTTGATCTTATTCACGTAACCTATGCTTATTTTTCTTTACTTTACATGTATATTTCAGCACACGGTGCCCTGAATACATTCTAAGGTCTACTTTACAAAACAAATACGAAAATCCATTTGATTTTATATGTGAGCTATATATTTATATTTCATAATGAAAATTTATATGCAAAAACATAATTATTATTATTTTGCAGCATATTAGAAAAACTTAAATCCATTGTACGGTTGGTTGTCAGAGAATGTTTTATAAAGGGCTGTTCCGCTCAGCGAATTTTCAAATTTTTTTTATTTTGTTTGTTTCGAAATGGTCATTCAGCAGTGAAAAAAACAACTTTCCATCTCAGGTGGATGCCGAGATGTACATCCAACAAGACCAAAGCTGTCTGACTTTGATCCCATATAGAAAAAGAATCAGCTTTTTTCTTGCATTTACTTAAACTAATTTTCAACGTTTTTTAGAGCTGCTTGTAACCTGAAAGCAAGTTTTCAGAATATGTACTTAAAATCATGTTCTGACGCTGATTTTATAAAAAACACTCTGTTTGCAAAAATTCTGTACACCCAGATTAGAACAAGACTCATATGCTAAGGACGAACGCTAAAAAGTGTTAAAATACATAGAAAAATAGAGAGTAACAAGGTCCACATTTTGGCAAACAAGAAAATTTTTTAGACTTTTCTATTCAACCAAAAATCAGGATGAAACATGTATTCAATCTGTTCTTTTTGTACAAAATGTCGATAGAGAGTTTGAAATCTGTGATCTATAACTCTGGAATAGTTTATCCGTTGGAGCCGAAGCTATTACCCTTTTTGTCATTTCCTGTCGAGAATCTGTAGCAAAAAATTCAGCTCTCTAGCTTGTCTTATTACTGAGAAGACCTCACATTAGAAAATTTGGTGCTTGCTCCGCGCTGAACTAAATTGGATAAAAATTGGGCGCCAAATGCAAAATTTATCGGTGAATCCGACAGCGGGTTCCTTATAATTACATCTTTTTTGGCGTCGATATAATCAACGTGGCTTTTGCCTAAATTTTATTTTTCTCATTGACGCCTTTTTTTCAACCAATGAGAAAAATAAAATTTAGGCAAAAGCCACGTTGATTATATCGACGCCAAAAAAGAAGTGAAGATGTAATTATAAGGAACCCGCTGTCGGATCCATCGATAAATTTTGCATCTGGCGCCCAATTTTTATCCAATTTGGTTCAGCGCGGAGGAAGCACCAAATTTTCTAATGATTTTACATTGAAAATAGACATGTGCAAGGATACCATTTTGATACCTGTACCCGACCCGAAAAATTTTTTTTCCACCCGTACGCGACCCGATTAATTAGACAAGAGTAAAAGTTCTGTTTTAGTAATAAAATATGCAGAATTACTCGGTGTATCTGATAGTATGTCTTTTCCTATACACTGATTTGTTTCTAATATTCAAAACATTAAAAAAACATCTTCGGCCAATACGATTTTTGGCTGTGTTTTGCAAAAACTGACGAACAAAAATTATTTTTTTAATATAAGCAGATGCAGAATTTCAAACTTTAGCAGATGTCATTGTTCCCATGGTTTACTGTCTGCGATAATATATGACGAAGTTGCGTTATTTACTTATACAATGGAAGGCGTCAATAGCTTGATAGAGAGGCATATTTTATAACCAATTTCCATGACTGTTAGTCATCTTCTCAAAACTTGGTCTTATACCTAAAATATTAAGACTTTATTCTAGTTTTTGATGTTTTGTTTGAATCACGCAACAAACCTAGTATTAGTATGACTACTAAAAATTGCACTTTATCCTATACATAGTAATGAGCAACTCTGCTTTTTATAGCTTTCAGCATTTCTAATGCAGTAGAAAAGTGGCAAATACTTATCTCAAAAGGTATATACGACTAAAACCTACGCAAAATTCTTTATCTTTTAGCATTCAAACAAAATAATAAATCTTTATACTTTCTTGTTTCACAACTATTAGTAATTTTTCCTGCACTCTGTTACTTTATATTATTAGCGCAAAATCGACTTTTTATACGGAGAACAGAATCGGTCCAAACTTTTTTCTGAAGAATTTATTATATGAATTGATGGACAGCAAAGTATCTCTTGATTCAAATTACTTTTCGCATTTTGGCGCGAATAGTAGCGCGTTTTAAGTGGCGTCACTATTCGCGCCAAAATGCGAAAAGCAATTTGAATCAAGAGATACTTTGCTGCCCATCAATTCATATAATAAATTCTTCAGAAAAAAATTTGGACCGATTTCGATTTTTCGCTAATGGTATGTCATAGGCAAAGGATAAGTCATTAAGTTGACAAAATAATGGGGAAAAGAAAAAAAATTGTCTCCATTTTCTTCAGTATTCACGTCTTCTTCATTTGGACGTACGTGTGATACAACAAAAGTCCTTGGATCTGTTATTCGTACAGATAATCTATTTATTGTACAGATGTATTTAGCTTTTGTTGCAAAAGTTACAAAGGTGACTGAAATACAAAAGCAAATTTCTCGATGGTGCGGGACGCGATATTCTGAACTGTTTGACAGAAGAGGATGTCAAAAAATCTCATCCCGCCAGCTTTTATAGAACAAACAATATTGCACAAAATAGACTAAAAATATCTGAGCCAGCAGAACTACGTTTTGTTCAGACTTGAGTTTCAAGGTTCGCCACTGGTAAAAAGGCATCATTTTTCACCTTGCTAATCAATGATTTTCCTAGTACATATCAAAATAAATACGATCTTGATAATGAGTGTAAAAATATACTCCTCAAACTACTTAGCATCACTTTTTTGACCCCAGACATCGATGCACACATCGGCATTACTATTAGCATCTACATCAATACCACTCAAAATAATATCTTTGAACACAGCTTCAACGCCAAATACCCTCACAACTTCCAACGCTTCTGTACGCCCAGTAAGCATAACTTGTTGATATTTTAACAGAAGATTTTATGAAAATGAAATTACTGAGAAAGTTATGATCTCATAACAATCAAGGATAAATCATGTAGTCACATTCAAGGCAACGAAAATGCATCGATACTGTTGTTAGACACAGACTTACCTTGGTACCCAGTCAAGACATCTCTAGCAAGAGAGATGGAAAGATAAGTTTTTCAGAAAAATCTCCTATCTGCATTTTTTCTTTGGCCACTATACGAGCACAGATTTTATCAAAACGATCGTTCACGCTCGTACCAGCCATATGATGAAAGATTTCAAAATACTTTGCCGACAAAGCAAGTTGTCAGCTCGTAATGTTAACAGCATAATGTTTTATTGTTCGGTCCTCGTGAATTCCTACTTATACAAAGAGCTCAAAAAGAATTACCAAATGTTTTGTGCATTATTTTTGTTTGACGAAAATCAACTCAATGGTCTGCAGCAAAAGATAGTTTAAATGATCAACTAACCTCGTAAACTGGGTGTTGTAATGGATGATAATATTATTGAAGGAAACGAATATGATGTTAATTATTTTCAATTTAAAAAGATCGCCGAATATGATATTGAAAATGTCGATCCAGAATTAGCTACAACCACTAGCGACAGTCCAGAAGAAACGAACACTTGATTGAGCGAAGAAAAAATGATGAATGAGTTTTCATCAGCGATAAAGACGAACATGAACAAAATATACGATACTGTCTAAAAACAAGCAAAATGTACAAAACAAACACATGCAACAAATATTACTGCGGAAAAAAATATAAAGAAGAAAACAAAACAAAAATTACAAAGATCTAATGAAACAGATATGCTATCTCAGCAATTAGGCTCAAAGAAACTTTTATAAGCAGATTTAACCAATTATACATGACCACTGTACATATATGGTCTAATGTTTTGCTCGGTAAGCGTTAATTTTGATTTAACTTCTTCCAAAAATATCTTTCTTGTTACCTGTACTGACTGAAGGAAAGATTTGTGTGAGAGATTAGAGCAGATTGAAATAGTGCTTGCGTTTCTTCCCATCTTTCGTTCGTTTCGATCGAATAAAAAATCGAAGAACAACGATCGATGAGAGTGGCCTATGCTACAGAAAAAAATTTAGAAAGTAGACTGATAAACTATTTTTGAATGAGTATGCAAAATGGTGAAGAATCATAAGAGAAAAAAATGAAAAATTATTTCATTAACGTTAAATAACATAAAGGAAGCCTAACAAATCACGAAAGCTTGGCAGTTTAACAAGTTACTCTTATAACTTAAATCTTTCAAACCAAAAACATCGTCAGCTAATTTTTTGCAACCATGAAAGTATCTTGGCCCAAGAATTGAACTATTGAAAAGGAATTAGGTTTTTCAACTGTCACTTAAGCGGACTCTTCTCTCTCTTTAAAGTTAAGGCGATTTAAATCGATCTCGCTTTCCTACTCTAACTGGTAACATTGACACGATACAACGGACTACCAGTACATCAGAGAAACGAATACAAGTGGTTAAGAATGTTGAGTTAAATAGAAAATTTTATAAGCGGTGAATGAAATGTGCCAAAGCACCATTGACATTCAGAAACAAGCTGGTATTCAAATTGTTCAAGCCATAAGTAAAGATTCTGGAAAAACTCTGAACAATAGATGGCAAAAGAAGAAACACGGATATTTTCAGAAATATACTACCAATGCTGAAAAAGTGTTAAAGTTAGAACTGCCGGAAGTCCGTTTCTATTGTGATACATCCAAAATTATAGTTTGGGAAAATAACGGACAACATGCTCTAGAAAACTCAATTTTTCAAGCAGTTACCTATGTGGCAAAAACTGAAAGAAACATAAGAAACAATTTGAGACCGCAAGATGAAAGTCTCGAATCATTACGTGTCTTATTAATCGATGCTATGAAGTACAAAACGAAGATCAAAGGGGCAAATATTATGAATGCATTAAACGGATTAATAAGTGTTTTAATCAAAAACTATCAAAGAAATTTGTCCAAACAAATGGTATCTTTCTTAAAAAAATGTATTTATCCTATAATCAACACAAGTTGCGGTCTAGTTGTAATTCAAACACTGTGTCAAGGTTGCGGTCTTTCCATACAAACATTAATTTCCCACGAAATGTTCGTCATTCAATCAGAGAACGTTTCCAGTACCACAGAATTGATGGAACAGCTGCTCTTTTCAACAAATCTTATTCAACCCACCCTGTCCCAATTGTATCGAACATGAACTTGCTCGACCAGTTGAATTTAGAATAGTAACTTGTCCAGAATTACTATTCATGTACAAATATCACACTGAAAATAAAAAAAATCTCTCTTACATGGAATTCGTAACACAAAATTTTCAAACTTGGATGCAATTTCTCTTCAAAATTTCAGAATTTTGGGAGTATTTTAAAAAGTTCGTAGTATTTTTCATGACTATAGCGTTTGGTTTTTTACACTATTTTACTCACTGCTAAATACCAGAAGGTTACAAATGAGGAACGAAAAAAACATCATTTTCATTGTGCATCTTTTAAGAATATCTTCCGTTAAGGATATAACAACAAATTTATTGATTTATCACAAAATGATTGTTCTCGGCGTAGACTTTATAAATGCATTTCTATCAATTATAGATAGAAAAGAATTTACCAATGAAAATCGGCATGAAACATATTCTTTCATTGATTTTGCTGCAACGATAAAATCGATATTTCCCGAATTAGTACGAGACACTGTGTCGAAGGTAATTGCATCCTTCTCTGTCTCAATCAACATCTAAGTTTACATGAGAATTAAGTTTGTTATATGTATATGTTATATATAGATAATTAAAATCAATCAGACTTTTTCTAGCAGGTTCATTTCAAAAAATCGTCTCAACTTCAGATTTATCCTCAACTACATATTTTTCTATATAGGTAACACTGTATTACGAATGTCCTCATTGTATGGAAGACAAAATGATTGTTGAACACGAAAGTATCTTCATTTTTAATGGAACTAGTGATTCCGATAAAGATATGACATTAATGAAAGTATATGTCAGCAATTCATGCACATGTGGAAATGGTAATAATAAATATTTTATAAAAGTCATATATTCTGAGCTAGAAGATTGTCCAACATCTTCATTTTATATCTCAAATCCAAATAATTGGGAGAAAAAGTCATACATGGTTGTAGACAAATCGATTGTTGAACACGAACCGATTGGGCAGATACTTATAACGCGTGACAAAGAGCGTTTACAAGTTTTCAAAAAGATTAACCAGAAACAATGGAGTTTATCTCCATATAGGAGAACCCGTACCGCAATTTCTACAGTATTCAACGCTCTCTTCTCATGTCTAATATGGCAAATGCAAACCGTATTATCACTGTTTCACGACTGGCTTATTTGAAAACAAAAAAATTCGATAGAAAAGCATGGAGATCAACATAAAGATGTCATGTTTTTATGAACTGCATGAACAAGCACCGAAAGCGTATGGCATAACTATAGAATGCAAACAAAAAATGTTTCGTTTTTACCTAAAGCGCGTGATAAAACAGCGTCAACATGATGGAGAAGATGTAATAGCAGAACTGGTTAAAATAGGGTGCTTTTGTTTTTTTCCCATTTTTCATTAACAGAAGCACTCTATTTCAAAGCTCTAGTAACATTTGGTGCTGATAAAACTTGATGTTGAAATTCTAACTAAGTGCAAGAGAGAAGTAAAAGAGAAGATTTTTTGAAGCAAGTAGGTCGATAGTACTACCAGAGAATAATTCCCTCGGCTCACATAGACATATCTATTTCAGCGTTCTTAAAGTGGCGTGACGCACATTTTATTAATGTTTTTTTAAAACAAAGATTTTTTGTTAAAAATCGTGTGCATGATTTACGTACTTCTCTACTTTCTGATATGCAGATTTCGAAGCATGTGTAGATATGAAATCGTCCGATCACGAAAAATAAAATAAGTAAATTCTATTCAAAAGTGGATTAATGTATAGCGGTGCATATTTAAATCCGACTACATTATTCAATGTTCTCAAACTTAGTTTTATACAATTTAATTTCGGTAACTATCTACATTTTTTGAGCGCTGGAGGACTATGAAAATAAGCAAGTTTTGGGCTGTATTGACAATAAATGTATAAAAATTCGTAGTTGCAGCAGAACCTTCAAAGTTAAAAAACGATTAGTATCAATTCATTTAAGATGAAGCACAAAACTAAAAAGGATTTGTATGTCTAATTGAAGGTAAATGGACTTTTTTACTCAAACACAAACGGACAATATCAATTTTACATTGATTTTCTCTCTTGTGATAAACATTTGTGAAAATTTTGGATATGAAATATGAAATCGCAAAAAAACTTAAAAATTGATGAAATTCTAAAGGCTAATAGAAAATATTGGCAAAAGCACTTATGTGCACAAAAGAATACTTGAAATACTGGACTTTTTGCACCTTACTGTAAAATCACATCTCCTACATACAGCATAGATCCATAAAAGCAAATGTTTCTAAGGACCCTAAGTTTCAAAATCTATTACCTATTTAAAAAGTGGATAAACGCGCTCAAATAAAGTTTCATAGAAGACAGACCGAGATTATCTGATATTCTTCTCGAATGCCATTAGTGTTTCGCACAGCACCAGGAACACTAATCAAATGATTTAGTAGTAATTGTATACCATAATATACTTGGAATAAGAAACAAAACCACTTTATCCATTAAAATGTAGGTTAGTCACTGAAGGTGAAATCTTAATATAAAAATTAGAAAATACAATGATCCTCTTACACTCTTACAGCCGTATCCGGAAAATGACTTGAACTAGTTGTATATTTTAATCACTATGATAAATTCGTAGTGTTGAACAAACCCGCCGCCACTTCGCAGAACGTCAAAAATTACTCAACAAAAAGAAAAAGACAACTGGAATGGAAAACAGAAAACAAGAACTAAACAAAGATCTGAACAGAGAATATTAGGAAATTTTCAGATTGTTTTGACAGATTTTGTTTTAGATATACGAAAGATTTTCCAACCTCTTAGTTAATTCGTAATTTACTTAGTAATTACGTAATTAACTTTACGTAGTTTAATTAGTAATTTTTGACGTCCTAAGAAGCGGAACAATATGACTAGAAAAATTGAAGACGATGGGTTTGTTCAACAGTACGAATTTATCATAGAGACTAAAATATACAACTAGTTCAAGCCACTTTTCAAGATACGGTTGTGAGAGTGTGAGAGGATCATTGCATTTTTTAAGTTTTAGACTACACCTTTCTCAACATGAGTATTTATACAGTTGCAAATATTTTGAATTACGTGTTATTCAAAAATTTATTGAATGAAGATTTTGTCGACCGTATTAGTAAGTGTTTGACTATTTTTTAAAGCCAAAACGGCATAGCTGTGTGGGAAATTAGCGTTTCTGTATATCAAACTAGATCGCGTGTATACGACAAGGTTTCTTATTTGTTTGTTGTTATTAAATTTATCGGTGTCATATTTTGGTGCATCTATTCAATGTTTCAGTAATGAATTACCCACTCATATGACACTTCAGTTCGTTAATACACCCTGTTGGCTAAAACCATCCACGTAAGATAAAATTGAATGATATTTCTTCACTGTTTCGATACGCATGTGTATATTAAGATCTTACCATCAGTGGCTAAACTATATTTTAACGGATAAAGTGGTTTTGTTTCTTATTCCAAGTGTATTATGGTATGCAATTACTAAATCATTCGGAATTAATTGGAATACATTATTCCATTAAACAGTAAGGCCATTTCTCTCTTCACTCACCGGCTTTCGCTATTTTCTCACTCATCATAGTAATTCCAACTTTGATGAATGTTGTAGATTATGACACGAACGAGAAATGTGAAAAGTTAAATGATAGAAGATATTGCTGGAAGAATACGTCGTGAACTGGCCTACTTTTGAACGTATGGTCCTTATGTTTCTGAATCTATCTTAGGAAAATTAAAAAAACAAATTCACTTTTGCACAAAAATGGCACATTAATCCTGACAAGGTAAATAATGAGTTATTATCAATCTTACCACAAGAAATAAACTGAACGATTTGATAAACATCTAACTAAAAAAAGTAAAATGACGGAGAAAACTTTAAGATCACTTGTACTTTTTCGTTCTCTATTCTGAATCTCTTTCTCTCGTTCTCTATTCCGCCCAGTTCTGTTTCTGATCATTAAATAGCGGCTCTTGGGAACCATGTATCGATACCAAACAGTATTCAATAGCTTCAAAAACAATGACGGATATCTGACCAACCTGTGATCCGCAAATTACGAAACAAGTATTGAATGAAAGAACGCTGTTTTTCTACGACCATTGTTTCTCAGCCGATTTTTTCCGGACAAGGAGCAACAGTTTTCTGCCACATGAAAGTTTCATACTCAAAATCTCTGAAACATGCTGTCTTATATCGAAAAAAGCGTTCGTTCATTCAATACTTGTTTCATAATTTGCAGATGACATTCGTCAATAGTTTAGGGGTATTGGCGAATGTCAATTTGCGAATGTCTATTAGTGAAAGTTGAAGTATCGAAACGCGACTGTACCATCATCACTGCTCAAGTCTGATTCAAACAGAAAAATAAACGCGACACTTGAAGTCGGGAGGTCGTTTCCCCATTAGTTTTAGGGCTTCCAGCAAAAACTCTCATAACTCCTAACCAGAACAGCACTCAGAGCTGAGTGATACCTCATTTTGATTCGAAATGTTTGCCCTATTTTCCTGGGTTATTAAAAATACAAAAAAAATCGAATTTGCAAATAATTCAAGAACAACGGATTATTCAAATATTGATAGTGAGGAGGATGCGGATGAATCTGATGGCGACGAAGATGGTAAAAATGATAGTGGCAATGATAAAAATAGTACTGAATCATTTTCAGATGAAAACGAAGAAACTGACGATGAAAATAACAACAGCCAAAGAAGAATTTAGAGATATGAGAATTTATGATGAGATCAAATAATCAAATAAGAAATCGCATTTTTGTGTCGAAATTAATGGTACATGTGAATATATTCACAAACAAACTGCCTGTTGGCTTCTAACAAATTACAAAAACTAACTACCATAGGATAGGCTATTAAGAGTGTAATTAATAGGTAAGCAATAATAGATTTAAAATAAACGTTTAAGCATAGTAAAATAAACGTATGTTTTTCCTTGTTACATATTTGTTCGTGGTTTCTCTTTACATTGTGTTTCTCCACATTGTGATTGTTTTTTCAAAGAAAGACTGTCTGGTTCAGAGTACTGAGACTAATTTCTTTGTATCTATTCAACAGTATTATAAATTACACAAAAAATGCAGTGTCATTAGAATTATCAAGAGCGAGGCAACTAATATAACTCAAAGATGCGTATTTTTGTAGTACAAATCAAGGTCGATTGAATGGCACAAGAATCAGAGCTCCATCTCTTAACACAAAAAACTAGATAGCTTTTGCGGCGATGACTTTGCTTTGGAACTGTGCTTGTAAAGAAATTTTTCCTGCAATGACATTACATATGAAAACCTTCGATAATACATTTCCTAATTCAGTTTTCAATACTGAATTCGGAAAAAAATGCTTGGAAACTTCAGAGTACAAATGAGAAACAATATTCATCTTTTTCGAAACATGAAGGTTTTTCCCGATTTTAAAATCCTCAGAGTATTTCGAACTCTTCTCCGTGAAAACGTGCACTGGGAAGGCTAAACAGGTGGTATTCTTGATTAGCGTGAAATTTTCTATCGAATGGTGTATAAGAAAGCTAAAAATATAATAGTGCTTGAACTTTGAATTAGCGGCGCCTTATCAAACTCCATCCGTATTAAGAGAAACATCATGGGGAAAAGAAAATACAAAACCTGAACAGAAAACAACAAGAAAACGTCGGCAAAATGCATCCATAAAACGATCAGAACAGTCAACAAGTTTAAGAGCAAAGAGAGCAAAAGAAGGCATTTGATTTATAATTTTCGGCTAAATACACTCTATTTTTTCTAACTTTTTGTTTTGCTTTCAAAATCTTTTTACTTTTTAGCGTATAAATTATATGATAATGGGCAAAAACGTTTTTAGAATCAGTAGTTGTAGTACATAGTTGACTCGTGTGATTTTTACTAGCTTTAATGATCTTTAGTTGTTTTTATTTTGTTATTTGATCACGATTGTTTGAAAAACTGATAGAAAATAATATGAGTAAAAAAAATATACTGTCTTCAAAACGTGGTAATATAACTTTTTTTCCTGCACTCCAGCAAAAAGATCCACACGAGGCCTTACAGAGAACGGTATGAAACTCTGTGCACGAAACCTTTTCTGAACATACAAATATAGAGGATCCGCACTAAACCTATACCATACTGAATCCTAAAGTGATGGCAAAACTCCGAACCTGTTTTAGGTTCTGTAAAAAAACTACCTTTTTTAGAGTGTGCGACATCCGAACTCCACCAACAACGTTTCGGACTTTTGATTCTGAGATGTGAGTTGTTTCCAGGGAATTGTCCTCTTACATTCTACGCAAGATGATTACTCCAAAGGTAGCCCCAACAACTATGACGATAGTCGTACCGGTATTTGATATCGACGATGTTTCGTCATTCGTATCCGAGACAACACCTCCTCCGCTGCCAGCTCCTTCGCTGACACGTCTTCCCGAACATTGTTCAAGAATGAGCGTGATTAAAATAAAAATAATGCCTTCCAATGCCACACTCACCATTTCTTTGCTGTACAGTACAATTTTCTTTTACTCATTTGTCGAATGTACTGAATCTTTTTATTCCTTCTTCTTTTATTCCATGCTGTTTCACTTTGATTTCACTTTGATTCGAAGCTAAAAACTCATTAAAAAACTTATTTCTAGTGTTATGGTGTTGGTTAAAAGAAGAAGAAATAAAAAAATTCAATACATTCGTCAAATAGTAAAGGAAAATTGTACCGTATAGCCAAGAAATGGTGAGTGTGACACTGGAAGGCATTATTTTTATTTTAGTCACGCTTATTCTTGAACAATGTTTGGGAAGACGTGTTAGTGGAGGAGGTGGTGTCTCGGATACGAATGATGGAACATCGTCGACATCAAATACCGGTGCGATTGTCGCCATCGTTGTTAGCGCTATCTTTGGCGTAATCATGTTGATTATATTCGGTTGCATAATTAGAAATTTAATAATTAAAAAGTTAATTAGAAAACGAATAATTCGGCCAGCACCTCGAGTGGCTCAACAGCGTCCTGTGAGACAAGCACCTGCTACTCGTATTTCTTCATCAGTTCCTGTTGCATTCACACCACCACCAACTTATTCGGAAGCACCCTCGCCACCACCAACTTATTCGGAAGCGATTAAAATCGCGGAAAATATTAACTAATTTTATTATAATATAGGTGTTTGTTTGCTGGTTCTTAATTTCGATAGCCGCTCACCCGATGCTGTAGTAAAGATTTGTGAAAAGACGTGCAATTTTTACTGTCGAAAAAGTTGATGACGTTTGTTGAAGTCCAAGTTAAGAGTTTTGACATTTGTACACTTACAATGAAGAATTCAATAATACATGTGTCAAAGTCTATAACTTGAGCTCAGCTCTTTTTACAGAATATGCGAGGCGAAGAAAAAGTTCTGTAAGGTTGGTCTTTAATATACCGGACCGTTCTGATTTGTTTATAGTTCATAGTTTTTAAGAATTTTGCATCTGAACTCTCAAAAGTTGAATACAGCTTTTGAAAATCAATAGGAACTACTTTAGTTTTTGAAAAGACTAAAGTAGATGTATTCATATTTCGCAGCTAATGTGTTTTGATACTGAAATTTACGTAAACCAGGGCTGTCGAATCGATAGATTAATCTTCAGTGAAAAGAACTTGTACATATGTGAAGATACGTCAAGCAGCACTACACTCCGGCAAAATATAAAATATATCAAACATTTGAAAGCTTACAGTGAAGAGAGTCCGTATGCCACATGATTTTATTTTCTTGAAACAGTGTAAGGTAAATGATATTTTTCCAAAATTTGTATCTACCCATATGTACAAGTTTTCTTCACCGAAGATGAATCTATCGATTCGAAAGCTCTGACTCAAGTAAACTGCAGTATGCGGTTAACAGCTCTCAAAATAAAGCTCCGTTCGATTCCCTACAACAGCTAAGGCTTTGTTAACAACAACTGGTACGAAATTATATTTCAATGTAGAAATATTTTGATTTGAAATGAATTGTGTTAGAGCTGAACTCCTTAGAAGATAGAGAGATTTTGAGTTTTCTCTATAAGAAGAAGAAGAACAAGAGAAAGAACTGATTTAAGAACGAAATCTCGACGCGAAGACAATGTGTCTTCGTTTTTCCTATTTCTAAGATTTATGAAAATGGTTCGAGTTTGAGAACCCATTACTAACAGCTTTCTTTGACTGGTACAGTGGCGTATGGAGAAGGGTATTAATTTATATATACATGAGTCCGTGTGAGATTATTAACTGTGATATACACATTAAGAATTTCGAAAGTAAGAGCTCATGTTACGCTAACTTATAATACAAACTTGTGACAGTATAGAATCCTCATCATACTCAGACTGTACTAGTTCAGGTATTGCAGTAGTAGTTCCTCCTTCTTGTGTTAAATGCTGATCTGAATAGAACAACTGATTGAAAAAATTTGGCGCCGTTGCCTGATATTCATTAACAAGTTCATTGACCATTGGCATGATATCTTTTGCCACTGTCCGATTCGTCGATTCATCATCCAATTGTTGTAGCATTTGCATATTTCGTGTCATTATTTGTGGTATCATATTCCCCATACTATAGAATGGTCTTGAATACGCTGCCTGTAGCTGTTCGTTAAAGTTAGAAACAGAGATTCGTTGATCAATTTCTTTTACACTGCAAGCTGATACCATCGTTGCTACAACATACAGTGGACTTATAGTTATTTGACTTAAAGTTTCATCGTCAGCACGAGGATACAGAACTGGTTTACTTTCAGCTGCTACACTATCAACAAATAATCGTTTCCATCTCGTCCAGTTATCTAATTCAAAACTATCATACATTGCTAACATAAATAGACACAGTAATCCTTGCGTATCACTGTCTAGAAGCAAACTTTCATTTCTTGTAGAAGAATGACTACCCATCACCTTGTTAGAAAGTTCTTTACAATCATTCGAAAGTTGAGGTAATGTGAAGAGTTCTGCAAAAGTTTCCATTTGACTTGGACTTAAACTATTCAATTGATTTTCATCTAGTTCAACGTGAGATAGTTCTGTCATTTGATTATCTTTGAAATTGATTTTCGTTTTTAGAACAGTACAGAGCTGTTTGAGATATGAAGAGGAGAGGCCTTCCAGTAAGTTCAAATCTTTGATAAAATAGTGCGGACAGTTTCTAAAATAGAGAAAGAGAGTTAAAGAGTATATAAAGATCTACGTGCTTGAGTCTTACCCTTCCTCTAGCTTTGAACATGCAAAGTCAATCCAACGTTTCGCCACTCGTTCAGCTAATTTTTCCTCTGTCGTGAGTGTGTAAGTATAAATACTATCAAAATTAATTATTTCACACATCCATAGAACTGTAGTCTTTACAAAATAAGATGTTAGATATTTCTCATTGTCTGATTTCACATCGGCAGACTTATGAAGATATTTATAGAAGAGACCACGAGCTACACGATTCAAAATTTGTTCAATTTCGGAACGTTCAGCAGCTAATTTCATTTCAATGAGTGAAAAAGAATAGCGAAATTCAATATTTTTGTTTTCTATTGACGATTTTCCAGACCATTTTGGTACGACATGCATATAAATGGTTTTTATTTTTTCATAGAGTAAAGGACGGTGTTCTTCAAACCGTTTGAGAAACCAGTGTAAATCTTCTGGCCAAAATTCAAGTTTGAATGAGAGAACAAAATCAAAATCAGGTGTCCAAAGATCAGTTAAATCTTGTTCAGTAATCCCTTTTCTAATCAGATCAAATTCGATGAGATGATTACGATACCGACAATAGAATTCAAGTACGGCTAAGATCTTTTGTAGGTGATTTTCAGAGAAACGGTATCCAAACGCTGGACTTAGAATAGAATAAATATCATGGTGAAAATTCTGATCGTTAATAATTGCTGACATTCCGAGGTTCGTCAAATCAGGCAGCACATTTTCTATACAATATCATGTATCAGCTTCACAAAGTTGTTTAAAATTTTTCATTTTTTCTTCATTTGGTGGTTGGCTGAGCAGTACATATTCGACATAGTTGAGTGCTGCATGGAAATGTCTGGCCGTTTGCGTATAGTTAAGTGTTGTCGATCGAGCGACACTTGCAGTTCTTTCATCTCCTGTATAGGAGTGTTGTTTAACTGTTTCATTGAGTAAATTTGGATTAGCATGTACAAATTCAAGCATATTTTCTTTTAAGTGACTATCTCTTACAGATGTCTGAGCTTTTAGGTTTAGTTAGAGACCTTTAACAGATAAGACATCTTTTTCGAGTGATTACCAGTTTGAAACCATTTACAAAACTATTTTCTTCTGGAAGTGTTCCCTGTGCTTGAAGTATATTTGGTGACCATTTAATTTTAACAAATCCTGGCACATTATCGATTGCGACTAGTTGATCTACCGTTTCAATATGTCCAATTTGCCACATAACATCAAAATCTTGAAGCTGATTATCGTGTCTAAAATGATTGGCAGCTGATCTACCTTCACTGGAACTGCCAGTTAGCTGGAAAGGACCACTTGTAGTCATTCTTAACGTTTAGAAAAAAGTTACTCTGCCAATGTTTCAAAACGTAGAGTGAAAGAAAAAAAGTGTGTTTATGGAAGCCGTCAAAATTCGCATCGGTGAATTTATTCACCGGTGAATATTTGTTTTTTTATATTTTGTCGGTGAATATTGTTTTACAATTCGGTAAAGTACCATTGATTTTTCTCGTTTTGAGAATTTATAAAAACAAAAATTGTTGCCTATTCTGTAAGGGAAGCCATCAAAATTCGCATCGGTGAATTTATTCACCGGTGAATATTTTCATCGGTGAATAAATTCACTGGTAATTTGATTGGAAACAAAATTGAGAACAGTATTATTCAATATGCCTGAGAAAAAGAATATGGTATAACAGAATGACGATGTATGTATATATTCTTTTCTGTACTATACTTGACTTGATGTTTTTTTTCTTTCTATGCACACTATAGAGAGAGATATAAAACAACAAATAGAGAAAAGGACAAAGTTTATCGTTTTATCAAAAAGAAAGATTCCCTTTACTATGAAATTAGTGTTTATTCTGGCAACTTCCGAGATTAGAAAGTTAACAAATTTCACGATACCCTTCCTCAGCATTTCTGGCAGTTTATAGTACACAACTTGTACTCTATACCATGCTATTTTTTAGAAAAAGGTACCGTTTACTTTTTGAGTTATAAGGCTGCCCTTGTCACAGCTGAACGTATGAAAAAGTAGGTGTCT